GATGAGCTTAAAGGCCTTGGGCTACATCAGTCATTCCTTATTTGCATCAGCTTCACTACCTTTAGTGAGGTATTCAGAGCAGCAATATATTTGGGGTGTGCACACAGTCTTTTATATAAAAAGGCCTACACAGACCTTTTCAAGTCTCTTAAAACCAGATGCTATAAAAGAAACTGTTTGATTTCCCCATTATCTTCATTGAGCCCCTCATAATGATATACTCCTCTGGATGTTTTGAGACACCAACAACTAAAGTGAGACTTCAAAGGAGCTCAAGGATAGCAAGACATATTGCTACAAAACAGCAAGAGGCACCAGCAGAGGGAAAGATGATAGTTTTGAGTCAGGAAGAAAGGATATTTTTGATCTGAAGAAATATTTCTACTGGGCAATTAGTTATCCATATATACTAGAGCTCCACACTCCCATTGTTTTCTCAGGCTCATGAAAGCTCAGAAGTCCAAACATCCTTTCTAACTTCTTCCCTCCTTCCAGCTTGGATTTTAATGAACAAGCCTTCAATTTCCTCAGAACAAAACAAGGTTGATAGCTAAAGCTGTGAAAGCAGCACTGCAATCTTATTAAACATGCCAGGTTTGCTATGCTACCCTGCTGAAAAATACAAAGTGATGCTAATTAGAATCCAAACATAAGCAGCTGGGTGAATGTGATGAGCACTGAAACTGCAACACTTCCAAAAGCTTTGACTGCATCTGGCCTAGGTGCACTGCTACATCCACATTAAGTATCTGATTTCTCCAGGAAGCTGCTGATAATAATTCACAGAAATCAGATACTCTGAAATGGGTGTTTGAACTGAATAAGACACCTGCATTCATGTTTTCAGAACAAACATACAAGACTTACAAAAAGCTTTGGCTATTGACAACATTAAATATCTTTTTTTCTCAGCTCTGTTTTTCTGAGGAGTCATCAGTAATCTCCATTCCTCTGCAGGCTGAGGAATAGTTCTTTCAGAAGATTAGTTTGGCATCCAGTAATCTGCTCCCCTGAACAGCCTATTCTGAAGTACAGAAGCAAATCCCACTCTCTAAGCCTGTTGGTTTCAGTGACAGAATCCTATGACAAGCACACAACCCAGTATAACAGGATGAAGCAGTTTCCATTTGAGAAGCTTTCTTCCCTTGCTTAGGCCAATTAAACAAACAAACAAAAAAAAACCAACAACAACCTAACCAAGTAATTTAGCACATAGAATCACAAGTTGCCCACATCTAGAGAGCTTAAAGCAAGCGTAGATGCTTCCCAGTGTTACTAAAGTGTCAGAAAAATGAAATTAAGTTTTAAAGTTTCCACTCTCACCTCCCAGAGTTTCACTCCAGCCCCTGTCTTTCCATCTACTCATATGAGATAACAACAAAAGCTTGAGCAGGGCTGAGGAGCCCAGCACAAACCTAACCAGAGTAACATCCCACAGGAGCCGAAACAGGTACAATAACAAAATTCATCACCTACCTCAAACACAGCAAGAGGATGAACCAAGCACAGGAGCCGGCTGGCTAGGAGATGAAATGGTAGGTTAAGCACTGAAGACAGGCATAAGGCACAGCTAGAGACCAACGCTCCTGCACACAACCACAATCACCACACAGGAACCAAACTTGAGCTTAAATAGATCCCAAGGCCCTGTGGGAAGGGTGTGGGCAGGGGGTTCAGATGAAGCTGATCAGGACTAATAAAGTTGATTGGTGTTCTCAGGGCTCTGGTGCAGATGTTTCTGTTTAAGCCCACCGCAGCATACTTTTTTTTTTTTTCCCCCCCCTAAAGAAGGTTCTAGATGTTACATTGCTGAGAAACAAGCAGGTGGTTTAAAAGCTATCTGTGCTTTTACTAGAGGCTCTTAAAATATAGGAATGCAATGTAAAAATAGCAGATTGATGCTGCAGTAACACTAAGGGAGGGGTTATACTTTTATTACAGTCCCCCATGATTTGATTTTTTTTTTTTTTTTAGTATTTTTGTTGAGGAATAAACACTATCCCTTAATATTATTTAAGTCCCAAAGGAAATTCTGGGAACAAAATCCGTAGTTCTTCTTAGGCAGAAGATGTAACCAGTACCTGTTACCAGCCAAAAAAGTTGCAATTGTCTGACCTTTTGTTCACAGCCCAGATTTTTCTGGAAAATATTGAACCACAAGCAACAGAAAATGGTAGGCAAAGAGGAAGACTTAAAAAAAAAAAAAAGTCTGTTACATTTCCAAATGACAGAGAGAATGACAGCAGAGCTCATTTCCTTGAGTGTGGTGGGACGTGCCTAACTCCCTGCACATTCTTAGGGCTTTTTCCCCTTTCTGCAACAAAAATCACATTGTTGCATTTCAGAAACTGCTTGGTGGATTTATTATTTTAAAAATATTTTTTACTGTTCTCTAAACTGCAACAGAGTATTCTTTTCTTCTACCTCAAAAAGGCATTTAATTCAGCTTCTTCCCAAACATGTGTGAAAGGAGAACCAGGAGTGATGTCAGAAGCAGGACATGTTTCTTGTGTATGGATCTGTGTTTAAATAAAAAATAAACTGTAAATTTATAGTTACATCCTAATGGTTTGCCAAAAGTGCAATTCCCTATGAAGCCAAATCAGGAAGTAATCTTCCCTTATCTTCGTGGCCAAGGCTTTGTCAGTGTTAGAAGTGTCAGTGTCTGCTGAGCCACTCAACGTGGCTCACTTCAAGACACCTTTGGCTTCAAGTTTACAATCCTGGTGGTTTTCTTCCACAAATGAATCTCCAGAAGAAAAGCAAAACATCTCCCTGTGGAATTGGAGACATAAAGAGAGAATGCCATCATTGTGTTTTGCACCTCCATTTTTTCCTATTCATTTATAATGGAAAAGACACAGAAATGGGACAACAAAGTGTAAAATATCAGCTTAAAGAATATCCATCACTTGCAGTACAGGGCTGTGTTACTTACACATCCTCTGAACAGAGAGAGACTTAGCTTTCTCAGGATTTTTCCTGAGAGAAACAGAGAAAAGGATCATGAAAACAATTCTTATCTCACTTGCTGCTTCTCTTGTTGTGTACATGTGGAATGTGTTATAGAAATTGTTTACCCAAGGCGATTGCTTGATTCTGGTGATGGTGTTTTGGATTGATTGACCAATTAGGTCACAGCTGTGTTGGGACTCGGCAAAGAGAGTCATAGGTTGTTAGTTAGTGATATAGTCCTTGTTAGTGTAACATAGTGTAATATAATTTTAGTACAATATAGTATAATGAAGTGAATAATTAGCTTTCTGATATCATGAAGTTCTGCATATCATTCTTCCCATGTCCGGGATCCCAGCACCAATACAGGGCTCTCCTGGAATAAGCTATATAAGACCACGTGCTTATATCCATTAGATTACCATATATAATCCAGTTATTAGAACTGGTTTGCATTGTCCACTTGTGGAGCTGAACAGTACTTAAGAGGAGAAGGATGGCAAATGAGCCTCTCAGCAGTTACCAACTTCAACATATTCCACATAAAGCCTGCTATTTCTAGAAATCTGCTAATGCATTCTTTGGCAAAAGGGTAGCTCTGAAAGAAACTTTTAAAGCAGCCCATATCTTCAGCCCACACTTCAGATAAATGTGTACCCCCTACAGTTTTCCTTTTCTTTCAAAAGGAAAATCTCTTGACTTTGTGCCTGAGACCCTTGTGTTCTAGGGCTGGATCACAAGTGCTCTTCTCAGGAACCATCTTCCAGATAAAAATCAATCATTTTCCTTGTGGGGATCACCTTAATTATCAAACCATGTGTCTGAAAGTTGCAATAGGCTTAAATACTTTGGGGGGTTGCATTTAATTATAGGTTATTGATTGTATATGTGAAGATTTCTGTGGCCTTGGCAAACAAAAGACTAGAATTGCAGCCAAAAAACAGGAACCTCATTAAATCGGGAAAACTGGACAGGTCAGAACGCAAATCCAACCAATATGATTAATGCAACGTTCTCCCCTTTATTCGTGATAAGATGGCAGTTTATATACACTTCCATATAGTATACAGTTTACAAAGGCACTCTGATTGGCAAGCTAACATTGTTTACCTATGCCTTAGGGTGGTCAGGCTTTTCACACTGCAGCTCTACCCTAATTCATGCTTGGATAGCTCATTACCTTGTAGTTACCTTAACACAATTTCTAACTGCGCCACAACTGAATTCTCACTGCATCAAAGGCTTCTAGGTCCTGTCAAGGCCACCTATCAGGGCCTAGTCTGAGGGGTAGCTCAATTCTCACTCCAGACATAAATCATGCACCCTCTTTCTTAGAAATTCTGTAACAGCAGCCTTTTCTTTTTTTTGCAGACAATTTGCATTTTAAAAGACTTCTGCTTTCATGTGGCTCAGCATCAAGATACAAATTCTCCATTGAACAATCTGCAACCTAATCTAGCAGTGACTCCTCAAGCAAGACTCCTGCCAAATCCAACAGTTCTGCAGGAACAGGGATTGCCACAGCTGGCCCATGATCACTATCCTGCTACCTGAAAGACAAGTGCCAGCCCAGGTGACAAACTGCCCAAAAGGCTCTTTGGACAGCAGCAGTGTTTGGGCCTCTGGCAACTGTCAGCCCCAGCAGCAGCAGCACAGAGCTCTGGGAATGTTCTGTACCAGATGCAGCCTGGCCCGCGAGCAGCTGAGTGGCCCATTTTCCTTGGGACCTGTAGAGAGGCATTTGCTCACCAGAAGCAGAGGGGACTCAGAAATGCACCCTTGCCCAGAATTATTAATCTGTACACCACTTCTTTTTGAAGCAGAGCTATTTCTGTGACCACATAAGTTACTATGGGATGGAAACAATCTTTGCATTACATTTCGTAGGAATTCTGCACCCTGGTAATAAAATCATCTTTGTTCAGTTGGCTCATCTTTCACCTGCATTTTTGGTTATGAGAAAAATATTTTTTTCTGGACCAAGAATTTTGAACTCCACCTGGTTTACACTGCAGTATAGAAAACTTTCTGTATTGACTCCAATTTTCATTCAACTAACTTATCATGAAATCGCCCCACTGATTTTTGACTCTAACTGAAAGTAATCTTGTTCCTGAAATTCCAGGAACAATTTGATTGAGATCATTGTCCCAAGAATAAATGGCCTGAAATGTCTACTAGACACTCCTGATGAAAGATAAGTGGTGAGTTAAACTCAGATCATATTGCATGTAATTCTTTCAAATAGCTTCTTTTCACCAATCTCTGGGAAAGGGAGGGGAAGGAGAATTACAGTGGCAAAGCTATGGCACAATACAGTTATATAATTACATTTCTTACATTCAGTGGGTATTTCAGTAAGTTTCTGTGGATAGGTAAGTTTTTCCAGTGCCTTGCAAAGTCCTGTGCAGTTGTTCCCTTGTTTAAATAGTTGCTAGGGTAAAAGGAAAAAAGAGGCTGAGCATTCCTTGTCCTTGGTCCACTGCATGCACTGGTAAGTGGGAAAGGAACAGATCTGGTTAAACAGGAGGTTGAGGATAAGGATTTTATACCTATTTTATACCTATTTTGAAATTAACATTACTTTCCAAAACTTGAAAATTATTAGAGAAGACAGATCCCGTAGAAGCCTCAGAAGACTGGAATAAATATCAAGGCAGAATATCCATTAATTGTTTTGGGGGGGGAGGGGGCAGAAATATTTTTCACTGCTTTTAGGTGAAGACATTCTCTTAGTGTGGGAGAGAATGCTACAAACTCTGAAAAGTGGATACAGCAACACATTGGAAAATATTTTCTCATGTATATCCTGCTGCTTTCATCAGAACTTGCTTAATTCAGCCCAAATTCAGATTAATCAAAAAGGATATTTGCAGAGGTTGGGATTTTTGGAAGCTTTGCTTGAGAGCTACATGCAGTGGCATCGAGATTTATGGCTCTGCTGCACTATATCTCTGAGATGCTTATCCAAAAATGGACTACAAGCAAGAATTTGGCTTATGATACAACAGTTTTCATTTTCTCAAACTTGCCATCTTGTCAGGTGAGCTTTTATTCTTTCTGCAGGAAGCTTTGATGTATTGAAAGCTTTAAAATCACAGCATCTATTCTGTGTGTTACAGAGTGCACAGCAACTCCTCTGCCACAGGGCATTTGTGGGCTTGGCCTGGGTTTCCAACTGAGCCTTTGCTTCACTGCTGAGCTCCTGCAGCAGTCAGAGCAGGCTTAAAATGAGTTTGGCATTCCTGAAGTGGGACTGTGGTACTGCCTGGAATAGAAACAGCACTTACTGTGTTCACAGGGCCCAGGGCAGCTTTTGGATATACAATTCTTGTGCAGTCCCTGCTGAGGGCAGCTGGACGTCTCCAGGTCTGCCTAACACAGTTTGATTCCCTTCTTTAACACAACATGTGGCTGCTAGACAGAAGCTGAAAAAAGGTTATTGTTGAAACAAGAAGTCACTGATGGCAAAAGCCATGTCTAAATAATACCCATGACATATCTAACAAGTCTTAGTTGTGTGATTAAGGCCTGAATTTTGGATCCCTGTATTGCGTAAGGAAAAATAACTCTTTTTCCTTTCTGATTTAATTTGGGAGTACAATCATAACTACTCTGTCAGTGACAGGTTATACTGTAATTCCTGTCCTGGTACATGCATGCCCTTCTGACAACTGACAAAAAACCAGAGGGAAGCCACAACCAGTAACAGGTACAGGAGCAGAATTTGGCCACAGCTGTTGGCACTAGATGTACTGCCTGATGAGCCTAGCCAGCTCGAGCATGCATCATAATCTAATAAAAACCTAATAATACCTTTCCCTTTAACTCAGCCACATATATCAGGCTTTGGAGGTGTCAAGCCTAAAAAGAGAATTGTACTGCTGTCTTGAAGGTAGTTTTATTGCTGAGAAAAATATATTGTAAGCAACAATTCCTTACACGGCAGTTCTCTCTTCTTTCCACTTTGGAAAAAAAAAAAAGGTAAGAAAAATATGCCAAAGCAATAAAAAATCATACAATTTGATAGCAGATCTGTCCAGATCTGATGCACTCAAACTTGAAAGCTTGTTCTCCTATCTCTTGTAAGATCTTTTAAATTCTGAAAAGGCTTGACAGGCAGAAAATGAACAGATGCACAGGAGAGGTGGGGGGTTATCTTGTGGGAGGTCTATGCTGCCTTGTGTAAAGAGAAGGGTGTGGAGGCGTGCCTGCATGCTGGGGTGCTGTGTGGGGAGAGGGAGCCCCAGCATGCACCTCTTTGCAGGGCTGGGGGTTACATAAGGCTTGGCAATGCCTTCCTCTCCCTCCCCTTGGAATCCTGGGAGAGAGGGAAGATGCCAGCAGGGAGGCATTGCAGGAGGAACAGGCTGCCCTGCAGGCTCCACACTTGTTCTCTCTGTGCCAGCTCCCCTGCTGAGCAGTCACCTTTCTAGAGGCAGCAAGCAGGCTGCTCCTCTTGCCCCCACGGGGACATTTCTGCTTCCTGGACAAAGTGTGCTCTGGTATTATCCCTGCTCCCTGGAGCTCATGGATACCTCTGGCTGCAGGAAGTACACTGAGCACTGTTGTACTCTGGTGCGCTTCTGTTTCACACTTTGGATGACAAACTCCCCCTCTGGACATGCAGGCAAGATGAAAAAGCAGATTTTTCAAAGTTATTTAATTCCACAAGGTCAAGAAGAGCCACTCAGGAGGGTAGGGAAGAACTGTTGGTGCACATCAGCTTACCTGTGTAAAAAGCATAAAAGTGAGAGGTGATTTTTTTTTTTATAATAAGATATATTTTTCAATGCTGAATACCCTTGATAACTTGTCTCCAAATCTTGCCAGGACTAGTTCTTCACATTTCTGGAGAACAGCAAAACTCAAAGATAGTCAGAGATGTTCCTGAATGTCACATTCAACTGGATGTATTCTGGAGACACTACCCTGTAAATATGATTTCCTCCTCTCATTGCATACCTACTTTTTGGTGAGCAGTCATTAGATTCACATTAACTTGATGAATATGAACAAGAAAGCTCTTAATTCATATTGTTGTAATATTCCAATTAATTATTTAGTCTGCTTTTGAAGCACAGATATGAAAATTCCTTGTTAAAAGTCTAAGTTTTGTCTAAAAGCTATTATTAATTTTTATTGGATATCAAAAGCAGAGCCATGGTGACTTCCCAACAGTCACAGTGCTGTGTATTTATTAATTTATCTCCTCTAAACCAAACCATTCTCCTTAAATATAACAAACTTTATTGTTAGTGGTAGAAAATTAATTGAATATGTATTTTTGGCCAAATCTTGTTTCTCTTTACTACATTATTTAAGTTATAAAACTCTCTTAGCATTCAGACACATGTACAAATTAAAATTGGAAATACCAACATCGCCATTGTCTCTGTGATGATAACTTTCACAACCAACCCATCAAGAACAAATCCCAAAAGTTTAGGAAAGTAGTTCTGGAAATCCAGTAGAGAACTGGAAAAAATTACGTAGCTGGTGATATCATATTGTATTTTAGGAAAATGAGTGTTGCAGTAATTTATTCTGCTCTAGGCAGTGTCATGAATCCATCATGGCACATAGTGAGAGAAAACATGTCAAGAATGCTGGAATACCTTTCCTTACCATGAGACACCCACACAAACTCATAATAGGACAACAGCCAATAAAGTAGAAAATAAACCTAATAGAAACCAAGTTAAGAAAAGTTGGGAAAGAATTTTCCAACTTCATCCTCTGTACCACACATCTAAAACCTTTAAAGTTTTTAACTCCCTTCTTTTTCCACTAGAAAACCACACTATCAGAGGAGGCAAATTTTAGTTCAGTGAACATAAAGACACAGAAGTTTGAGTGGGAAGGGACCTTTTAAAAGTCACCTAGTTCAGCTTCCCTACACAGAAAATAACGACAAAACACAAAGCCTTGTCTTCCTCACACAGCTGAAGAGAAACAGTAAAATTACTGATGGGGAAATCTAGGAAACAATGTATTTTGGTGGTGTACTCTGTGCAGAGCAAGGGGTGGTCACCCAGATACATTGTCATTCCAGCACAGAAATATTTGTGAGCTGAGTGTCGCAGAACAAGAGAAAGTCAGGTTGGCATCTTTCCCTTCATGTAGCTTCACTTGTTCTTTCCATACTGTAGTTGAACTTTCCATTTTATAATCAAGATTAAAACAAACACAGACTAGAAGATTTTTTTTTTTTTTTAAAATCAAATTCTGTCCAAAACTTACCTGGGGTTCATGGCTACACTTGTATCAACAGCTGTGGAAACTTAAAGTGACAGCTTGATTCCTGAAGCTTTTTCTGCAGCAGCAGTGGGAGTTTGGAAGCTGGAAAACTGTAGCTCTCCAGGCCTGTGCAGAGCCAACAGTGCACCACACACATACACAGTTAAAGGCTGGAGCAGTACAGGTTAGCAGAAGCCCACTGAAGCTAAAGGAGAGTAAATTTTGTAAGGAAAAGAGTAATTTAAGTCATCACAGAAGCAAGAGAAGGCCTGGCCCAGACACTTTTCTCCGACTGGCCCGCCTTGCTTTTTCTTTTTACCCATTTTCTAATGGATGTTCCTAATCAGGTTCAAATGAGGTGTACCATCTCCATCTTGGCAAGCCTGACCTACTTCACAGGGATTAGCAGTTCCATGACATGTCTCCCCTGATTTAGGAACACTCTGTTCTCTTTCAGGAATGAAACCAACTCTGCCTTCTGCCTGATCAGCGTTTGCCTGAAATGCAAATCTCCTCTGTTGCATGTGGCTAGAAACTACTGATAAATTAGCTACAAAGTAAGTTTTTCTTTCCTTGTTCTTAGGAATTCACAGGAACACTCCCGTTTATTTGGAGCCCTTATTTTACATGTTGTTTCTTCTTAGCCTCTTCTTTTGCATGTTCTTTAATGGCACAACTATAATTATTCACCACCCTATACCACCACCAAATAAAATGTTCCTCAACGTTCCCTTTTGCTCCATCAGTTCTTTGTCACATAAATTCTCCTAATTTAGCTCTGCCAGATCTCAACCCTCTCTCTGCTTTGGCCAATCACTTTTTCTTCTTTCTTAGAGAATCTATAGAAAGATTAGCATGTTTCCCCCAAGTTTCTCAAGTTCCTATTAGCAGCAGAAAAGGGAAAAAAATGTCCTTTCTGTATTATCTTCTCACAAAGGAACACCAGCCAAGTGTGTGTCTTCTCAAATAATTTCTACTGCTGTATTTTTTTTCTCTTCATTACATATCCCAGGTCTAAACATTGCTAAACCATCCAATTTTACACTATACATTTAGGAAGGGCAAGGATAAATTAGAGAAAGTTTTTTTTCTTAATTTACAAATCAAAAAAGGAATAGAAAATTGTAATATAGAGACTGAGATCATGTAACACAATGAAAATATTACAAGAATTGTGTTCTGAGAGGCTTTTACTTATTTAATCCTCAGCTAATTAAATGGAGTGGCAAGGTGGCTCAAAAAAATTAAGGGATCTTTGCAGTGCTGGGAAGCCGTCAGCAAAACTCTTCTTTGGTAAGGGCAGGTACTGTTGGAATACCTGCTGAGGAGAGAGTCACTGTATCATTGGGAGAGGCCTCATTACTCCTGAGAAGTAACAAAAGAGAAAAAAATTCTACCATGGTTCCACTTCTGCATAGTGAGAGTGGTGCTAGGGGCATTTTCTGCTTCTGTCACCAAATATTATTCCTGAGTCTGTTTCAGTGAAAATAAAGGCCAGACCAATACTTTTACTTTAAGGAATGATTTGATCAAGCCCAGAATCCTGTGGGGAAATATGGGAGTGATGTAAAAGAGCCTCATAAAATAAACTCGTAAAGTGCAAAAAAATTCACAGGTGATAAACACTACTATTTCCTCTGCTGAGGTAAAAAAAAAAAGTGAATGTTTTACCAACAGGACTTACCAGCATTGTGTTATTAAATTGTTCAGCACAAGTTACTTCCATGCCAAGATAATCTCCAGCCAAAAATTTTCACAACAGACAAGAAGGCAGACTAGACCTGTAAGGTGATCTCTTCTAAAATTTTTTTTCCCCCGGTCAATTTGCCAGGTTAACTAAAGAGTTAGAGCGCAATCATTCTTCTCAAGGGCAGGGCTGCTATTCAGAGGGACCTGGGCAAGCCAAAAGGATGAGGCTGACAGGAATCTCATTGAAGTCAAGGGAAACACAGTGTTATGTGTCTGGGAGGGGGTGAAGAATGCATCAAGAAGTTTCACTTCAACACGAGGAAGAAATTCTTTATGTTAAGGTTGACGTAGCACCGGAACAGGCAGCCTAGGGAGGTCACGGTGCATTCCTGTCTGTAGAGATTCCAAACCCACCGCACGCGTTCCTGTGTCACCTGCTCTGGGTGACCCCGCCTTGGCAGGGGGCTCGGACTGAGCTCTGCTCCACCCCGAACTGCTCTGGGATTCTGTGAGCCCGCCACAGCCCCTCGGAACGGGCAGCACTTGCTTTAAGGCGATCCCGCAGCGCCGGTGCCTCACAGCACCCCGCCGAAGCCATTAGCGCTGTTTAACCACCTCCCAGCACACCGCGAACGCGCCCGATTGCAAGAAGGCTCAGGGAACCTGACCGAGCGCATCGCAAGCCGCGGCCGCAGCAGGTGCCCGGGAGCCCTGCCGGGGCAGCACCGGGCTCCCCGCGGCTCAGGGACTGCGCCCGGCCGTGAGGGGCGGACGGGGCGGGAGGAGCCGCCCTGCCCCGCGCAGGCCCCGCCCCGCGGCGGCCGCTCCTGCCCCGACTTCCTGAGGGCGGGCGGGCCGAACATGGCGCCGGGCCGCTGGCGCCAGGGGCGGCGGCTCCTCCGCGCTGTGCTGCTCGTAGCGCTGATGGGTCCCGCCGCCTGCTTTTCTTCCTCCTTCTACAGCCCCGGCGAGCCGCGGAGCAGCGTGCGAGTGCTGTGCGGCTCCAACTGGAGCCTGGTGTTGCAGGGCCAGTGGATGTTGGAGTTGTGAGTAGCGGCCGCTTTCCCGCCCGCCTCGGAGGCAGCGTGGCCGGGGGGCGAGAGGGGCTCCCTGCGGGCATGGCCGGTGACTCTAGCCCCGCTGTGGGGGGAAGGCGGCCGGGCCGGCCTTTCCGCCCTGCGGAGGGGCCGAGCAGCTTCCCCACCCGGCAGTGGCTGCCGGGGACGGCGTGAGGGAGGCGGCGGGCGGTGCCTACGGTCCCCTCCGCCAGCCCTCAGCCGGCGGGCACACCCTGGTCCCTGCCGGGATGGCCGGACAGAATCCCGCAGGTTCCCGGCCTGTGTGGGCGCAGAGTGCCCAAGGTTAAACGGGTCACTCCAGACAGAGGGGAATGAGGGATATGGAATGAAGGACGTGGAGGTGTCGGAGCGAGCCCGGAGCAGGCCACCAAGTTGATTAGAGGGATGAAGCATCACTCCTTTGAGGAAAGGTTGAGAGAATTGGTTTTTCACCCTGGAAAAGAGAAGGCTTTGGGTAACCTAACTGGGGCGTTCCAGTTCCTGAAGGGAATTTACAGGCAAGATGGGGAAAGACTGTTTACAAGAGTGTGTCATGACAGACCAAGGAGGAGTGCCTTCAAACTGACAGATAGTTGGGTTAAATTGGATATTGGGGAAGAAGTTATTTACTGTGGGAATGGTGAGGCCTGGCACGGGTTGCCCAGAGAAGCGTGGATGCCCCATCTCTGGAAGTGTTCGAGGCCAGGTTGAACGGGACTTGGAGCCACCTGGTCCAGAGAAAGGTGTCCCTGCCTGTGGCAGGGGGTTGGCACTGGATGGTCTTCAAGGTCCCCTTCCTGCCCCAAGCATCCCATGATTCTGTGAAGCAGATGTCCCTCAGGTTCTCATCTGAGTGTCCAAGGTTAAATGAAACGGGTCACTCTGGGAATAGTGTCCAGCACTGCCCCTTGTCCCACTCCCCCACTGGGGGCTGCCACTGTGTTCTGTGTGAGCTCTGAGGGGTCTGAATTTCGTTGGGAATATTTAGCAGTAGGCTTCTAAAGCAGTATTACATAATATCCTAGCCTTGACTTGAGCTCAGAGTTCTCAATTCAAGGCAGGTGCATTGGATTTCATTAACTTCTGACTGACTGTACTGGAGCAGCGGCTTTGGCTGTGACATGACACAATTCCTGAAATGCACGTGCCTTTATTTTTGGTGGTGCCTCACTCAGCTGCTTGTATTTAGAAGCGGGGAATGGAGCTTGAGGGTTTTTTTTTAAGACACAAATTAATAAAAAAGTAGTTTAAGTAGGCAGTACAGTCATGTGGTACCTGTGGGCCGTGCAGCTATAAAATAGGATTATATTGTTGCATGTGTGCTACTCTGTGCAAGTGCTTGAGTTTAAAACAGTTTGAACATCTGAACTTGTGCTCCCTCCTAAATACTTAGCTAGCTACTTAAAGCTTTGGCTTGCTCTTGAATTTGGTTTATCTCCAGTCTCTTCTTAGCAAGATGGACTATCACCTTTCTTAGGGCTTTAGTACTCAGGATCCTACTGGACCCTGGTGTTAATCAGTGAATAGGTGGTAACGATCTTGAAACAGCTGATAGTGACCCAGGGCTGCCAGCTGTTGTGGTTGAGGATTTAGAATGGCTTTTTGTCTCTCCATTTATTGTGAGCTAAAAGGTGGAGGAAAAAATAAATTTGTTTTAAATTGAAGGTTTTTCACTTAGTCCAGTGTGGAAGCAATTGTATGAAAGTTACTGATTCATACACAGGTTGGTGAGTTTTAAGGAGGAAGTTTATTTATGGTGACTCAAATTTTTTTTTTTTCTCTAAAAGAAAATAGTTAAATAACTAGTGGTGTGTGCCTCTGAAGAAGAAAAAAGAGAGGAACTGACTGAAATCAGAAGTGGTTGGGGTAGCAAACAATTAGAGTCCTTTGGAAGCCTTTACTCCAATTGAAAAATTGGTCTTTGGTTCAGAGTGAGAGGTTGCTGACCACAGCAATGGTAGCAGAGTTAGCTTTAGTGTTAGCTGGGCATAGTACATGTTGCTGCATTGCTTAAATCAGACCCTAATTAACTTTATTCAGTGTTTGATGTGTGAAAGATCCTCAGGTCTCCACGCTATTTCCTGTGGTTTGTTACTGGTACTTTCTGCTTTTCTCCTGAGGAGGAACCTTTGTCTTTAATGAGGATGCAAACTCAATGCTGCTGGTGTGAAATTAGTGGGAGTTTGAGCTCCAGGACTGATTTTTAATGTTTTCCGGGCAAAATCTGGTCCGTGATTTTTCCCCTATGTGCTTTCTGGGTGAAATCTGATCCGGGTTTCCTCCCCATCCCTGCTCGTGGTCCTCATTATCAAAATTTCTATAAGAGAAGGGAGAAAATTCAATTTTATTTTGGGAGTGAAGCTGGGGCAGACAGAATCTTACAGCCAGTGAGTTTTTCCATGGGCAGCAGCTGCATCCCTCTTGCCTAAATATTCCTTATTGGGCTTGTGGCAGAAACTCTGGGTGAGAATGGTCTGCCCAAGTGACTTCAGTGGGGAGATTCAGCAAACACAGACTAATCCAATTCTTGCAGCAGTTTCCATTCTGATGGATTTTGGCTTCTACTGATTTTTATCTGCTTTAGAGTTAGTGATCTAGACAGGAGTCCTGCGTGTCAGTCCACGGATTCCTTCTATACTGTCTCAGGCTGGTTGGCAGGACTGCAGTAATGCTCATTAAAACCTCATTTGTTTAAAGAACTTCCTATTTGTTCACAAGACCTTTATTTTCTGAGCAGCACTTTTTTTAATGCAAATGTTACTCTGGCATCTTCATGAAAAGAAAATGATTTTCATCAGCTGCTCTTTTGAAACCTCTTGCCTTGGTAGGAACAGGTACAGCTGCTGTTTAATGTCAGGTTTTTTTGGGGAAAGTGGAAAATCACTGTTTAATTCCAGCTTTTTGTTCTTCCCAGGTACATAAATAGAGAAATTAGGCTTGAAATTACTTGTGTGTGGCATCTGTAGCAGAAATAGGATTTTTC